ATTTAATTTCAATTATATTTATAATTTCTTTTTTTTATATATTACTTTAAATAATTGTATTTTAATAATATTAATTGAAATTAAATTAAATTAATATACTAATTAGTAATGTATATGTTAAAAAATACATTAATTGTATTTTTAGATAAGAGAATTAACTTCTGTACTAATAATAGTTACTCTTTATTCAATTAACCTGTATATATTGTTTTCTCAGCCATGTTTCCTACTTCACAAAACATGCATGTACCTTGCTTATTACCTGATGAAGAACCATGAATATGAATGAACATGATATGAAGTATGAATAAAAATGCCAGTGTATCTTCACCCTCTGAAGAATTCAGTTAATTCATCATGTCACTGAGATAAAGTGTCTCTATCTCTATCTCTGTTTCAATCAGTTTACATTCAATATACTCACATCAAAAATGTCTGAAATGGCCCCCCCACTCTGAGGTCTATTATGACACGCTCTACATAGCGGCAAGGGACAGCACCTGTCCCACCTGCTACCCAGCCTATTCACACCTTCTACCATGGATAAACCAAGTTCAAGTGAAAGGGAAAGGCTGCGAGCTCCTATGTCTAGCTGCCGGTATACAAGGAAAGGGAAACACCTCAAAGCCAACTGAATAAGTTGACGCGTCAACTGTGTTGCTGTTACCCTTCACTACCATTTCATCAGCAATCATGATCAGCATATAAAGAAGGAGAGAGAGTGTGTGTGGGGTTTCAACATCACTCACAGGAAAGGGGAAAGTCCTATTGAAAACCAATTTCTATTTTGTACAGTGTTCTTCTCGATCGTCAACCTTGTCTTCATATATTTCTACTTCTTCTGCCCTTTCATTTTCACCCTCTCTTGTTTTATGGACCTGATTCTCCATAGATTTGGCTCGTTGCGTCAAAATACAACCCAACGCCTCTCCCGCGTGTGCGTCACCTTCTTTTTCTCACATTTTCTTTCTTTTTCCTCCTTTTTCCTCCTTTTTCCTTTTTTTTTTTTCCTTTTTTCTTTTCCTCAGTACCTGCTGTAAAGCTCAATTGCAGCAGGGAGAGTCATGGGACCCTATCACCAGGAATTCCAAAATGACAAGGATGGCGATAAACAGGAATCTGCACGGTCTGAGCATGACAAAATGACCCAGCTACCGCTACCACTCCATTTGCCACGCGTAGAGGAGCAGGAGGACGGCCTCCACGCTGGCAGCCGCCGCAGATGTTTATATATGAAACATCGCGCACACTGCCACTCAATGCTTTGCTTCTACCTTGGCGTGTTGCTGTTCAGTGCTGTTGGTGCAGTTTACTACGAACCCGCCGAACCTGCTCCTGAATCCCATCAGATTTACCTCGACCCGACTACCGTTTGGAAAACATCCATGATAACTGTTTCTGTTCCTGCCGCTCCTACTGCTACTCCTGGTTCTGGTGGTGCCGATTCTTCTGTCTTCGAGACTAGCATTTTGCCATCCTCGGGGAGTATAAATCCCTCCTTCTACAAAAGCACTTGCCCCCCTCCACCGGATCCTAGCCCATCTAGCCCCAGCCCGCCCAGCCCAGAACCACCCGGTCCCAGCCCACCAGGTAACATGTCGAATCCGGATGGGTTTAGGTCTATTGTGTACTTTGTCAATTGGGTATGTGATTGCCAAAAAATGGTTTCAAACTTTTGATTAGTTGTTTTTCATTATGTGAAACCTCTCGCAAGAAGTTTGAGGTTGATATTGGTTTGTATAACGACAATTGGTTTGTATAACGGAACCCAGGGATCTCAACTTAGCGCCATTGTTTAAACGGGTTATATGGGGAGAATTATACCCCCAACGAAAACACGGAACGTTTTATCTTTTTATATCTTGTTGATTGATTGTTTATTGTATCTTTGATATACTGTAATTTTCTTTTACTGTTTTGGCTTCCAACTGACTTCATGGTATAGGCAATCTATGGGCGTAATTACAACCCCCAAGATTTGCCAGCAGCAAAGCTGACGCATGTTATCTATGCATTTGCCAACGTTCACCCCGAAACCGGAGAAGTGTACGTTTTCTTCATCATGGTTACTCGTGTATCCTTTCGTTGCGTAAAGTTATATCTTACCTGACATCCGATCGACTTTTCCTTTAGCTATCTGTCCGATCCCTGGTCTGATACCGACAAGCATTACCCAGATGATTCCTGGGACGAAGTGGGAAACAACGTCTATGGTTGTGTCAAGCAACTTTTCTTGCTCAAAAAGAAGCATCGACATATGAAGGTCCTACTTTCCATTGGTGGATGGACCTATTCTTCTAATTTGGCCAAACCCGCGAGTACGCCAGGTGGCAGGACCAAATTTGCTGACACTGCCACAAAGTTGATGCTTGATATGGGTTTTGATGGTAAGTTGCCACTGTTATGCACAGGGGAGAAGATACCAAGGGGAACTCATGTGCAGGGGCTAACCTGGCTTCTTGGGGCCGACAGGGCTTGACGTTGACTGGGAATATCCTAAAAGTATGTAACCCATGTCCCATTTCTCAGAACTGGGTAGTGTTCGCTAATCGCTATTATTAGATGACGACGAAGCGAAGAACTTTGTCGAGCTTCTTAAGATTACGAGAGAGGTAGGATTGTTCGATGTTTCTGACCTCAGCCACCCCATTGCCATACTAATAATAATATTGTTTCTCTAGAAGCTTGATGCAGTAGCCAAGGATCGCAGGTTCTTTCTAACCGTCGCTTCCCCAGCGGGTATGTATTATTTACTCAGTTACTAAAAAATCTCCACTTGACTTATTATTGTTGGGTACATTATTTAGGTCCGCAAAATTTTGAGAAGCTCCGCCTCCAAGAAATGACCACCCTTGTGGACTTCTACAATTTAATGGCATATGACTACTCTGGAAGCTGGGACGAGATAGCTGGTCATCAATCAAACATTGACGGTTCCAAGTCCAATCCTAAATCCACCCCTTTCTCCACCGAGGCAGCCTTAGAGTATTACACTGGTGTTGGTGGAGTACCACCCTCTAAAATAGTTTTGGGCATGCCATTATATGGGCGCGCATTCGCCAACACCGATGGCCCTGGAACTCCCTTCCATGGAAATGGGGGTGGCGGCAGCTTTGAGCCAGGGATTTGGGACTACAAAGTGCTCCCAAAGTCGGGAGCAGTGGAATATTTGGACTCCCTTGAGAAAGACGGCTGCGGTGCATCATGGAGCTATGATTTATCTACTCGCACGATGATTTCGTACGATACCGTGGCGATGGTGGAGGAGAAGACGAAATATATCATTAAAAAGGGGCTCGGTGGCGGCATGTGGTGGGAGGCGAGCGGTGATCGGGATCCCAGGAGCGCGGAGAAGGACAAAGGAAGTCTTATAGGCACTTTTGTCGAAGGGGTTAGCGGGAATTTGGATACACAGGAAAATGCTCTATCATATCCGGAGAGTCAGTATGACAACCTAAGGGCCCAGTTCCCACATGATTAGACGGAGGCGTGTTATATGACCATTGAGAGATATCCTTCACTCTATCTAGAGGAACATGTTACGAATGGCTTTGTATTTTCCCCTAATGTTAGGCATTTATTAACTTTCCTTTCAGGTTCTGCGAGCATTTTGTGAAGATTTCTTGAGGGGTTGTGATGACCAAGGATGATGAGATATTGTGTTGGAGCATGTTCCTTACGTTTTATTCATGAGACCTCATGCCTATTTTTTTGTGTATAGCGATAAATCGGGGAGAAAACAAGACCCGGAGTGTATGATAGCAATGATATATATACGTTTGCGATTACTTACACTTTGTTCGATGGATAGGTGCAGCTGAAACAAGCAAAAACATAGAAGTAGTTAAAAGTATCTGAATTCGATTGTTCAATAATCTTAAATACAGGGCCAGGTAAAATTATTATTCCCCAGTCTTAGCTCCCAAAATCCCCATCGATTTATTTGGACTCGTCAAAGACGTAGGTGAGATGGCACTTTCCGCAGTACTGGCGGTTGTGCATGGCAGCCATGAAAACACCGGCTCCGCACTATTTGTTACAACAACAGATCAGCAAAACTGCAAAGGAGGAAAACTTTTCAAATATAGCCCATGTAGGAAAATATAAAAAAACATACCTCAGGAGTAGGGCACTCGCGGCGCAGACGCTCGATCTTCCCATCGCCATCGACCTTGTAGTATTTGAGAACAGCAAGCTTGGTCTTCTTGCGCTTGTGCTTGATTTTCTTCGGGGTGGTGTAGACCTTCTTCTTGCGCTTCTTGGCACCACCGCGCAGACGCAGGACGAGGTGAAGGGTCGACTCCTTCTGGATGTTGTAGTCAGAAAGGGTACGGCCATCCTCGAGCTGCTTGCCGGCGAAGATCAGGCGTTGCTGGTCGGGGGGGATTCCCTCTTTGTCTGTTCGGGGTGGTGAGGTGTTAGTGGTTTTACGATTTGGTTAGACGGAGGGGGTGGTGTATGCTGAACTTACCCTGGATTTTACTCTTGACATTGTCGATGGTGTCGGACGACTCCACTTCAAGGGTAATAGTCTTGCCCGTAAGGGTCTTTACGAAGATCTGCATTTTGACGGAGGCCTGTGGTTGGGAGGTGGTTAGTTGTTGAACGTTTTTGTGGTATTCTTTTGGGGGGGGATGAAGTGGGTTTTGTGAGCACTGCTGCAACTCAGGGCAGTGATGTGTGAATGCTAGGAAGTATGAGAGCACTAATAATGACTCGGTTCAACATACCTCGACAAGTTGTCTTCCTCAACCTTCCTGTGCAAATCGTTGCTTGATGATGTTCTTCTCCCAAAGTACTGGACTGGATTTGTTCAACTTGGAGATATGGATCGAAGCGAGGGTTGTGTGGCTCACGTGATATTCTTTCGGGACGGAGCGAAATATCACGTGATTAATAACCCACAGGGCTGAAGTACGCTAAACCCCGATCAGGCGTTGCTAGGCCAACAATCTTTTGTTTTGGAGTAGCACCGATCTCAGATCTCAGATCGCTCTGTACGGCGACACCCAGACAACGACATTGCTCAATGGCAACGGAGCTGTTCAATTCAATTCCCATTGTCAGTCTCCTGCATTTTTAATCCGTTTTTTTTTTCTTTTCCATTTTCATACACTATTACCGAATTACACCAATACTACTCTACCACCTCGTATAGTCTGCTTCATCGCGCTCCAGTATACTACTACAGCTTGTGAGTACTTGGAAGGGTGAACCTCTCTTGCATCCCCGTTTGGTCCCGTCCTAGAGACCCATTTATATTCTCCCCATCTCGATTCAGAGTTTGTGGGTGGGATATTCGATATATTAAGTATTATGATTATGGATAATCGCGCCCTAACATTGTTAACTCTCTCAGCTTAAACTTCTTCAAATCTTTCTCAGGTCATGGTTGTTCAAACCTACTCCCTCCCCGTTTGCCTCTGTATGTTGTTTAATTGAAAGGTTGTATGCAAAAGCATTTGGGCCCACTGAATACCTTGAATTCATCAGTCGGTACAATAGATATCCTGCTGCAATCTGGAAATAACTATAAATCGAGCAGGGCGGAGAGGCAGCATATACAAAACACAGAAAAGTCGGGATTTCTAGCATTTCTAGCTTTCATGCGGTCGAGACAAATATGCGGGAATATCACTCACATCGAAGAGGCTCAAGTATCGACGCCGGTGTGTTAGGACGACGTCATTATGCACCTCCATCTAGACAGCTTGTAATGAGCCCTAGCCTGCCGCAGTTAGATATCGCCCATCAGCATCACGAACGCCCTGCAGCCCAACGACCAAGCACTCCAAAGAAGCAGACAGGGCCAGGTGAGCCTTCTTGCTTGTTTTATACTATAAAGTAAGGGAATAAGGCTAACATCAGAAAGATTCACTTCCATTGACGCCGGCAACTACGCCCTTTCGGCGATCAAAAGATTTTTTCCAAAATGCCAAGAGTGCTCAGCTATCGCCAACTAGAAGACATGCCAGGCGCAGTGTAGACTTGGGCGGTTCCTCGTCTATGCAACGTACGAGGTCACTGCAAGGGGTCGTTGGAAGCAATTTCACCCAGCAGAGAGACCATGCTCCCTGTACAACCAATCCTGTATTCTTCAACTCCTTCGATAGCTTTACCACTCCTTTACCAGACTTTGGAGATGACGTATTCTCCGATTTCACTTTCCACCATAATGAGGATTCAAAAAGCTCCGCGGTCACTTTTAACTTACCGTCTTCTCCTGTCCACTCCTCTTTTAGCTCACAGAATCAGGCTACCGGCGGCACGCAGTGCGAAGGAGCCGACAAAAGCTCCGCTCGGCCAAAAGTGCCAATTATGCCAGCTATTCCTCTCATTCCCGCATATAATCAAACTGCCAACTCAAGTCCACGTTCATCACCACTGAAGGCGCCTTTGTCGCCGAGACCCGTATCGATTGCTGATTTGAATTTGGATGCCAACATTGACGCTTCAATTGAGGAGACCGGTATCACCCTTGACGACATTGCTGCGTTTATTGAGGGTCCAGATGTCGACAAAAAGTGGGTGTGTACGTATGGAGGTTGTAACAAAAGGTTTGGCAGGAAAGAAAACATTAAATCTCATGTCCAGACCCATCTCGGGGATAGACAGTTCAAGTGCAACCACTGCAACAAATGTTTTGTCCGCGGCCACGATCTAAAACGACATGCCAAAATCCATACGGGAATTAAGCCCTACCCGTGCGAGTGTGGTAATAGCTTTGCCCGTCAGGATGCCCTAACAAGACATAAACAACGAGGCATGTGCAGCGGTGCGTTTAAGGGTGCTATAAGAAAAGTGGTCAAACGTGGGAGACCACGAAAGCACAGACCAGGGCAGGACGAAGCTACCAGGTCGCGCATTGCGGCAAGCGAGAAGTCCTATGCCAACTCGATTTCCGAATCTTGCCTTTCGTTAGCTTCTCCCCCAAGTGAAAGCAACGATACAGGAAGTGTACGTGAGTCGAGTATCGGTGATGACATGCAATACCTACACAGTGATGGATTCGGCTTACCTCCCGACGTCTTCACTTTCACACCTCCTGCCTCTCCCGGATTCAGTACCGGAAATGTTCCATCGCCCACTAGAAGCTTCCGTTCAATGACGCCTACCATGGACCGTAACTTTCTGTCTCTGTCCCCAACGAAAAGACCCCTCGATGATATCCCAGAAGAAATCCCAGATATCTCGCTTCTTTGCCCAGGCTCTCCAACTCCAGTTAAAAAAGAACGCCCAATCTCTTCCCAGTTTTTGCTTCTGTCGCCGGCAGAACCCACTTTCGCCGCTGCTCACGGTTTAGAATTTGACGTCTTCACCTGCAGCCAGGATACCACCCCTCCTTCTCTGTCCACAACCTTTGAAGAGAATGACCTTGCTTCACTCCAAATTCCGTCCATGATCGGAAGTCTTCCAATGGAGCCAGGGAACTCTACCTCCTCGGGATATGAATCTGACCTCTTCCTCGCTACTACTCCTACCCAATGTGATAACGTTGCCGATCTTGGCCTTAGTAACCAATTTTTCTCAGGATCATTCTCACAGTATTCTGAGGATTTTTTTAGCAGTTTTTCTTCGGAGGTGGATAATGAACTGTGATACGTTTTATGATATGGTAAGAACTAGTCCTATTCTTCCCACTCGCCGATATGGTGGTGCTAGCTTATTAGGGTGCTGACTAGTTCGTTTTCGTGGGGAAAGCTTGAAATGACTTTTAACACGGTCCACGGGTAATGTGTAAAACTTACTATAATTGGGTGGGAACGCTTGTTACGATAGATAATGATTGATTAAGCCTCCTTTTCGCTGGGTTTTCTGGACGTTGGAATTTGCAAACTTGATTTTACTTGATCCTCAAAATATTTTGGCACCTGACCCCGCTGCCTACATGCTTTCTCCATTTGGGCTTTTTATGTTTGTCCCTCGCTTTTTGTTTTTTTTATTTACTTTTCATATGTTTCTAGGATGAAGCTTTGGGATATGATTTCTTTTGTCCTATTTTTCCTACTTTTTCCCTTATCTCATATTTCTCTAGTTTCACTATTTTCCATCTTTAGGGACCATTTTATAATGACCTTGTACAACACAACAATAGCGTGTGAGCTTTGCAATTCTGCTTTCTTGTTTTTTTGGTTTGTTTTTAAAAATGCAATGTATTTGGAAAAGGTCTTGCAAGATTGAATGATTTTTATTTTTGTTGCTTTCGATAGTTACAAGTTTGGTGGCAAAGAAAATTTCCCCTTTTTCGGATGATGTTCAACTTGGTGGTTTTAATTTTCATTTATTGGTGTTTTTTGTTCAATTCAGCTCTGTTTTTCTTTTAATGTTTTGATTTGTGCATGACAGTGTCATCATCTGTACTCCAGCATCTGGCTACTAAAGGCCTAATTATCCATGTTGGAAGAAGAATTCGCACAAATTCATATCTTGTAGCAAAGGTGCATCAAGCTAAATAAAAATGAGAAGATAGCCACAACAATAAAATCAAGCGCTCCCATATATTACCTAATATAAAATTACGTTAACTAGGTTAACTAACTTATTCTAATCTATATCGATTATCTCTATAGAGCCAACACACTGAAGGCACCGAAACGCCGTTCCTACCTGGCGACATGTAAAACACAAACGCTGTAGGAAAAAAGGTAAGCCATCATGGATGGCTTATCTGTAAAACGCCGCAGCAAAATCGCCTAGCATTAAACGAAACGGGGCTGGCAGAAGTAAATGACGGCTTAAACGCCGCGCCAGTGAATTTCCAACGATAATGGATGTCCACGTGAAGATTCGTATATTATGCTCTGGCCTCGGCGTCTCGGGACGGCATCTGAGTAAAATACAGTTTGTTCGTTGAGGGATAATTTTTCGCCAATCGCCTAGGGTGATGGCTTCAAGTTAGGATATGTATTACTTATTGGAAACGAGATTCCGCAGGAGTTTAAGGGGCAGACATTAGGAGTGGAAAAGTATCGCTTACTGTAAATGCCGTTGGTTCGTCGATATCTGCGCCGCAAATAAAGTTATCGTCGTCATCAAAACCGCAGAGGCCTTTGCTTGATTTGAGGTAGAGGTCATCTGTACGAAACATGAGGTCAGATACATGAGAACCGTAGCAAACATATGATATAGGTATGTAGACCTTCAGTGTATGGGAAGGCGCGGAACGTCGCGCATGTCCCAGCAGCAAACCAACTTCCACGGCTGATGATACAACCGTGCTGCCTTCCTGAGTATTGCACCATTAGGTTTCCCTTGCCGACAAACGGGGTTCCCGTTGGAGGAGTTTCGGTTGGCTTCGGGAGTGTCCTTGTACTAGATGGCTTTCGAGGTGACGAATTCTTGGGCTTGTAGCGAATTCCATTTCGAGGGCAGTTGGATGGTCCACCGACTGTATACCATGTGAGTGGGAGAAATGACATGATCCCGCGTGTTTTGGTGTGCCACTAGGCAGACGAACCTGGAATTGCTGGGACAAATTTGCCCGACTCAAGTGGTCCTGCAACGTTGAAATGATACCATATCTCGTTGAGCGCACCGTTCCGACACCTAACTACCACATTGTGGCCATGTGCCTTTTTTAATGCATACTCAACAGCATCAAGGTCGTAAGTTTGTGTATCTGATGGCACGATCCCAGCGACGGAAAGAATCTAGGTGGATGTGCTTAACAGTGTCAGCCACGGTTCGCATCCTTAAACCCATCCGCCACGTCCCCCCTCAATATAGATGTATACATATATGTATGCATATATGTATACATCTAAACATTTATTTGAGCTTACGCACCTCATAAGAAGGCAATCCGAGAAACAAATCAACTGTTTTCTGAAAGTAAGTCACGACCTCCTGCTGGGGAACGTAATTCGGGTAACATCGAGGTTCCAGAGTACTAATGCAAGTCCCGTGTTTATTCCACTCATGTTCCCATAGGTCCTCATCATCACCGCGAAAATCCTTCCAGTGCATCCTCATCAAGTCCAATAGCTCCAGCTGACCACTTTCCTCTATAATGGAGGATATATTCTGAAAGCGGCGATTGGAGTCGCAGTATTGATCGTAGCTCCCATCGCAATGGTCAGGCCTGGGAGAGGATGGCAAGAATCTTAGATCCGACATCCCTTCATATAAATGAGGAAGATACGGGATGCTCACCATAACCCATGGATTGTCCAGCCTTCCTCCGGCCCCGTGGGTGGATCGGCATCCCAGAACTGCGTCTGTAAAAGTTGCCCACCCGGATAATTGAAGCAACACCTATCCTGCGAATTGAACTCAACTTTGCAGCTCAGCTGCGGACTTGGACAAGAAAAGAATTCAGCCACTTCTGACTCTTGCTGAACGGGCTGGTTATTCCAGAGTGGAATTTGGGATGTTCCTAGTGACGCAAAACGCAAGACTGATTTTGGAGAGGGAAGTTTGAGTTTCAGCGGTCTTGCCACCGCGATGAATGCTTCCCGCAACGTCTCTTTCGTCATCATGTTGATGACTGCGAATACCCTATGCGCGATAGGGAGGTGATGGGAATTATGCGGATATGATGAGCTTGTTCTGAGGTTGAGGTTGCCCAAGGTCAGCAGCGCAGCCACTAAGCTCCCTAAGCCGCCTGTATCGGCAAACCCAGGGACTTCCATTGGCACGAGCTCAACAGCCAATCAACATCTGATCACATTCCAACACTTGCATGAAAGAAGAGCCTATCTTCACACACAAACTGACAGAGTAACGTTGTTTATGGTTGCCAGGATGCACATCTTGCACTTAGGCCATGATACCATCTGCCCCTGACCCATTGCCGGGGATTTGTCTGTGGCGCCCGCTGTTAAACAGGAGTACGTACCGAACAAGGTTTCCAATATATTGGCTAACTTGCCGCGCATTAGCGACACAAACGCATCCCTAGCCGAGGCGACCCACAGACAATGCCGGAACATGACCGGTAAAGCTAAGGAGCTTTGTATAACAACCATGGGCCTGATAGCGGACTTTTACCGAGTCTAATACTCATGTGCTTCCGATAACCGCCTAGCTTGCGATTTGGAATATTATAAATCTCGCCTCGCAACTGGATTTCAAATTACTCACTTGAATTTACTGGATATATCAAACAAAAGCAAACAGGCTTCTCGTAGGTGCTCTTGGAGAAATCTACAACGCTCACAAAGCGTTTACGAGAATTTACAATAAGAGCGTTTCAAGATGACTGCCCCTGCCCATACCCAAGAATTCGAGGATGCGATCAAGATTACGCCCTTATCCTCGCATACCTACTCGGCGGATTTGGTTACGCAGTGGTCTGTTGGGAGCGGTATGTCTCCCCAAGCACGAATCTCGAAATTGAGTTATATACAGATTATACCATAAGCCTACTTGGTGTCAAAAATAAGATAAATTAGGACTACAGCTAACTGAGCTTTTTTGTAGCTCCTAATGGAGGGTATCTAACTGCGATTCTCTACCGGCTTGCAACAACCCACTTCCAAAACACACATCCAACCCGACACTCCTCCCAGCCGATGCCAATCAGTATGCAATTGACCTTCATCCGGCGGTCAGCTATAGGATCTGCTTTATTGGCAGTGCGCGATGTGAAACTGGGGTTAAGGACGTCAGCAATCCAAGTTACGTTGAGTCAGCTGAGCTCGTCAAACTCGCCTGAGAAATATATTGAGAAGGTGACTGGATACATCACAATCTCTGATCCAATATCAGAAGTAGGTGTATCCACCCCTTGTAGCTGGACGCTATATCCCCCGCCCCCAGACTCCAAGCCACCGCAACTTCGTGATGGACATCCTGTTCCAAACAGTCCTTGGAAGAAAACGATAATGAGAGACCCAGACTTTCGACGAGCAACGAACAACTCAGAATTCTGGGAACCGGTAGATCCCCGACTAGATGAACGACGAGGGATTGTAGATCAATGGGGTAGGCTGCGACCTCTTGGACCGAAAGGTGGATTAGGAAGGTGGACCAACGAAGCCGTTGCATACTTGGTCGATATTTTCCCTGTGGTTTTGGAAAATTTAGAATATGCTACTGCAAAGGAGATGGGAAGCCCGCCGCCGTACTGGTTTCCCACTATTGCATTGAATATAGATTTCAAGAAACCTCTTCCCAAGGGTGGAGTGGAGTGGCTTTACAGCCGAATCGCGACAAAATCCGTTCGCAATGGAAGGACAGACATTGAGGTGATAGTGCTGGATGAGGCGGGTGAGATAGTTGCTCTTGCGACACAGTTAGGGCTGGTGCTGGGATCAAGTCGCAACACCGGTGAGAAACAAGGCGCCGGACAGCGAAAGAATTCAAATCTTTGAGTAAGACTAGCGCTCCCCTCACGCTGGGATTTTGCATAGAGGTAGAAATATACAAGTAATGTGTTCGTTCCACCGCCATAGTCATCCACTGCCCCACAGATCCCCAACTGGTCACCTCCATTCCGTTATATCCAAAAGAAAAGTGAATGAGATGCAAAAATGTGGAGTGGTATCATTGAAACAAAGGAGATCTCCATCCATAAAACGCCTACCATGCAAAATTGAGCTAAAACTTTGCTACCCCTTACAATTCACCGGCTAGTTTGTTCCGTCAGCTCCATAGTTTCGAGCTCATGCTGCCTTTTTTCTTTCCATAGTCTCAGAACTTCAAATCCCACTTCAACAGCAATGAGCGCAATGATAATCCACTCAAGTCGTAAACCGTGAGTTTCACTTAGCCGTTCGCGGAGGACGCTTGCAATCTCTTGCGCGTAATCCATCTTTTCATTAAGTACTCTAATTCGGATCCCTACGTCCAGGGCTCTTCCAACCTGGTCATAGTATCCCTCCAGACCAAGTTCGTGGCGACTATCCCAGAAAATATCTGGCAGTGAGTCTGTGAGCTCAGAGTATAGGTTCAACTGGGCCCTCACGCTAAGGAGCTGTCCAGTTTTCTGCAGTACGAAACGCCGGGTAAATGGTAGGCGAGTACCTTTAGAAAGGAGGGTTGGGATGTTGCGGGTTGATTCAAAGTAATTCGAAAGGAGCGTTTCTAGAACAGCCAACTTGGTGCTCCGTGCAAGCCCAGATGAAAAGGCAATTTTAGTTAAAACATTATCCACACCTTCCTTGCCTTCAGCCCGCAAATCACGGTTATCTGGGCTAATTTTTGTGCCGAGAGTTATCGTATCGCCCTTGATAGTACTGTATTCCCTATTGGGGTCTTCGATATAGTCCAGATCTTCTGTTTCCATAGAATTGACGTGCGGATTTTCTGCGGCCGAGAGAAGCACAGATGTAGCTAGATAGGAAGTAAAGCTATCAGGGAGTGCCCAAGCCACAACAGTGCCGGAAGGAAATATGAATATATCACCAGCCTCGTCCGGCGGGAGATTAGAGGCTGACGGACTGGATGTCCTCCGGAGAGAGTCTAGCGGTACTTGCACATGGACAACATGAGGATACAAATCTGTTTTGAAAGGGTCCGGTTCGTATCCTTTGGCTAGGAGGATTTGAACGACCTTGGCCAGATTAAATGTCTCCGCTACAGCGTAGGCTGTCACAGTCTGAAAGGGAAAATCAATAATTGGCGAACAATTTCACAAAATCAGAAATAGATACCTTGGATTTTGCTAGATCTTCATCAGCTGTCTGAGTTTTCTGGCGCATCCCATCCTTTGATCGCTGTGCTTCGACAGCAACACGCCGTAGCGATATTTTGGCACCTGGTGACCTGGAAGGCTTCCGTTTGGCTTTTCTTGTCACATTGGCGGCGGGTTCAGGCTCTGGTGGTGTTTCCGACTTAGCATGCTGGAGGTCAATTTTAGACGAGAAAAACTCTTTCCTCCATTGAGTGGATCTCGTAGGACATGAATGAAAAGTAGGTTCGAATCGTGAGAAGACCGGCGTTATTCGAGGCGTTCTGTAGACTGAACTTAAAAAGCAACGTGCAAACATGGCGATGGGTATGGTATATCGAACGGCAATGGCAGAAATATTGCCCAGCGCGCGCATTGATACGGAGTAATATGCCGATCGGCATGCAAATTTAATCTTCCGGAAGAAGCGGGTCCGCTGAGTCAGCAGATCTCCAGTGGACCCCAATCAACCTTGGAGCCTCCGTCCTTAGATGAGGCCGCTGGCACCGTGTCGTGTTATCTTGTTAGGATCGATTAAAGCTGCCGGTATGGAGGTGGACGACACAAAGGATTCTGAGAGTGATGGTGTAGGGCTGAAGCCGACAGGGCAGGCGGCGGGCCGCCCTCGGTCATTGAGCCCAGCCGCTGAGCCATCATCGAAGGACGTTGAGGATAATTATAGCCAACAATCAGACGAAGAAGCTGGGGATGAGGATGAGGATGATGAGGAAGAGGAGCCGCGCCTCAAATATGCTTCATTGACCAAAAGCATTGGCTCCGTATATCGAAATGGAGATGCTACAAGCTCCTTCCTGACTGCGGGAGACAAAATGGTCCGTTGTTTTTTATCCATTCGAACTGCCCTCTTGAACAGCAGCTGACTGTTATAGATCGTTGGGACACATAATGGAAATATTGTATGTAGCATTCCGTAACCAATAGCTCTATTAGGTTTTTGCTGATCTTGTATAGCATGTTTTATCCGTCCCTTCTTTCCAGATTCTTCGTGTTTACCATGCGCACTCCGCAACCGTTTCCTCCATATCAATATCACCCTTTCCACCTTCACTCCCCATGCCCCAGCTGGATACATTTCGGCAATTTTCCAGTGATAGTAATAGCATCAAATCGCAATCTACTACCCAGAAAAATAAAAACTCGACGAAAGCCCAACCTGCAATCCCAGCGACCCCCTCGAACTCTATCTATATTGCGTCGTCCTCCATAGACGGAAATGTCTGTGTATCATCGTTAGTGGACCCAAGAGATGTCCTCCTACGTAACTTCGGACGACCAGTCCAAGCTGTAGCTCTCTCACCTGAATACAAAAATGACAAAAGCTACATTTCAGGAGGACTAGCTGGTACATTGGTCCTTACAACTGGGGGCAAGGTTGGGACGAAATCAAATTCTACAGTTATGGGAGTCTCTGCCCCCAATACTTCGGGTTGGTTGGGCTCTCTTGGTTTAGGCGGAAATTCCGGCAAAGACGTTGTTCTGCATAGCGGAGAGGGAACCATTAGTACCATAAAATGGTCACTATCAGGGAAGTATGTAATGTGGGTAAACGAAGAAGGAATCAAAATAATGCGGACAAATTTACACCTCGAGAATGCGGATTCTGAATTCGCCTGGAAACGCATGAGCCATATCGACCGACCTAATCGTCCCGGGTGGGAGGAAATGGCAAGCGTTTGGAAACCGCGAGCAGAGTGGGTGGACGAAAATTCCGTGGATGTCGACGACGATCCTGGAAAATTACAGTCACAAAAACAGTCCCCAGCTGCTAACGCGAGCAACTGCCGAAGTCGAAGCTCAGTCGAAAAACTCGTGGTGGGCTGGGGTGGCACTGTTTGGATTATCAATGTCTTTCCAGGTGGATCCAGTACGGGAAAGGATGTTGGAGAACGGAAAATTGGATCCGTAGGAGTTGCAACTATGTTAGTAGTAGCCAAGCCCTGGATTGCCCTAATGAAAAATACTAATTATCCCACAGATTACGCACTGACTGTATTATTTCCGGAGTTTCGCTATATACCCCAAATTTGCTTCTTGTACTTTCTTATCTGATACCTGAGGACGAAAACGACGAGTCCAACGCGAAGCAGGCAGGCCCTCGACGCGGAATTCGTCATCGACAAAATGGCCTTGAGCCTGAACTTAGATTGATTGACATCGAAACCAAAGAGGAACTTAGTGCGGATACCCTGAGTGTCAAAAAGTACCAAACGTTTTCCGCATCGGATTACCATTTAGGTGTTCTACCTCCAATTCGAGCACCTACAGCAGCAGTACAGCGAGGCGCACTCGAGGCTATAGGGACTGGACTCTGGGACGCAACCCTATATCCTACCCGCCTTTTTAGCTCCGCTGCTAGCGTACGGAGCAACGGCAGCAGCGGCGACAAAGGTTCAAGCATCCGTGGAGGGAGTTCAATAAACTCGATGGGTTTATCAGCCAGCGACAAACAGGCCAAGGAGCTAGCTATTACAGCTACCGGCGGAATCAAGATATTCATCCACAGCCCTTATGACTGTATAATTGCAATAAAAAGAGGCATTGTAGATCGTTTAGCTTGGCTAGATAGTCATGAAAAGTATGAAGAAGCATGGGAGTTAATTGTCCAGCACCCAGAAGCTGCTGCCGCTACCTTGGAGAGGGCGGAGAGCCTGCCTTCGACCCCGACTAAGCCACAGAGTACCCTCGCGGATTTTTTCTCTGATGACAATGCATCGGTCAAGACTGCTATCCAGGCCGCAAACTCCGCGCCAGAAATGGAAAAGCGCCGTATTGGAGAACGTTGGCTAGAGCAGCTTCTTAGTCAAGAAAACTGGGAGAGAGCTGGGCAAGTGTGCGGCAAAGTCCTCAGGACAACATCCAGATGGGAACACTGGATATGGATTTTTGCGCGCAACAATAAGTTCGATGAAATAACGCCCCACGTCCCAATTGAGATTAGCCCCCCGCTTCCCTCTTTGATATACGAAGTTATTCTTGGGCATTATGTTTCCCGAGATCGTATCAGATTTAAGGAACTACTCGAACTATGGCCTACCGATCTTTTCGATATTACAAGTGTAACCGCTGTCATAGAAGACCAGCTCCAATCGAAAGTTGTCACGTCCGGCTCGGATGACTGGAAGATTTTGATGGATAGTCTAGCGAAATTGTTCCTAGCAGGGAGGCATTACAGGGAAGCTCTCCATTGCTACATCAGTCTCCAGGATGATGAGGCCGCAATGCGATTAATTCGTGAATATCATTTGTTGGATGCTATAGCCGATGATATTCCCGGCTTCATTCTCATTCGCGTCTCGAAAGATCAATTGAAATCAGCGTCTATACCCGAGTTGGATGCTGCCACAGTAGATCCCATCAAAGTTTTGGTGAGGGAAGCGGCCAATGGTGTCGTTGGCCCTGAAGCTGTTGTTTCACAGTTACAGGCCACAAACCGCCGACTGTTTCTTTTCTTCTATCTACGGACTCTCTGGAGAGGTGATGCAACATCAACCGCTATAGAGAAGCCTTCCAGATTTCGACACCAGAAGATGGATGCTGCAGAGAAGCTTGTCGTTGATGAAAGACGCGCTCTGATTGATGGCCTCTCAGATATCGTCATCGAATTATTCGCAGAGTACGATCGTCAATTATTAATGGAGTTCCTCCAGTCAAGCACATCTTATTCATATAGCGCAGCCAGCTCAATATGTGAATCTCGCCGTTATATCCCTGAGCTTATTTATCTCCTATCCAAAACTGGCCAAACAAAACGAGCACTCAACCTCATCCTGTCAGATCTTAAAGATGTCTCATACGCCATCTCATTTGCCAAGTCACAAGATGACCCTGATCTTTGGGAAGATCTCTTGTCCTTCTCGATGGATAAACCCGAATATATCCGCGGCTTGCTTGCCGAGGCGGGAACTTCAATTGACCCGATAAACCTTGTCCGGCGTATACCAAGCGGCCTGGAAATAGAAGGGCTAAGAGAAGGCCTTACTAGAATGATTCGGGAACATGACATCCAAGCCTCCATCAGTCAAGGCGTCGCGAAAGTTTTGGAAGGAGAGGTCGCGACGCGAATGGACATCTTACGTCAGGGACAACGGCGAGGCATTAAATTCGATATCGTCACTCCCAGCTCGGGCCTAAGTCAGAAGCAGCAAGATACTCAGGAAACTGAGGAGTTGGGCAGAGGACGTTGCGCTGGATGCCGTAAGCTGTTCAGTGAGCAAGGTATGTCGATATCTACACCCAAGCATTATTCCTTCTGCTCAATGTACCCCCCCACTTGCATATATAAAACCCCTTTTCAAAATCCCTCCGTCTCCCACCCGGGAAAAAGAAAACAAGCAATCACTTTCCATGTCTTATCAGTCTCATAATTAATCACATCCATTTCCTCACTATCCCTCCAGAAACCGAAACCCTCATCGGCTTCGCCTGCGGCCACATCTTCCACGTCTCCCACCTACACCTCGACCACTACCACCACCAACAGCCTCCCACAACTACCTCCAATACAACAACAGATCATGAACAACGTCCCACCTCCCCAACCCCAACTCTCCGCCCACCACCACCACCACCACAAACCTCATCGCGACCACACACAGCCTCAACTTCATCCCCATCCCACCCAGACTATGCAACGACTCAATTCTCCCCTCTATTTTCCCGCACAGTCGGCCCCAAAGTGACCAATGCACGTCTCTTACGAGACAAAGTTGGCGACGGATGCGGCATTTGTACAGCGAAGAGTAATATCGATGAAGCGGCACAGGGAGGAATTGTGGTGTTGCGAGGGAAGTGAAAACTAGGAAACTACTAACTCTCTTGGCTTTTTCCCCTGTGGGGGCTTATTTTTTTGAGGGGGTCCGGGGAACTTAGGGCATCCTAGTGCGGAAAGAGAGGATGAGAAAGGAGAGAATATTACCAGTAATAGTACTGGGAAGTAACTAACTAATAATCATAAAGTAATCACGGGGTTTAAAAGAGTTGAATTGAGGGGTCTCCTTTGATTTTCTTTTTCGCCGGGGGCCCTGCTGCTAATAAATGTCTGGAGATGGGGGAGATGATATCATGTTCCATGGATGCCCCTCTTCCCTCGTCTACCACCTCTTCCACACCCTACCTATTCTTCTATTTTACAAGATGAATACCAAGGCTTCTTGACAGGAACCAGTTTCTCACATATATAGGTGTGTTTGCTATGTTAATAAGGATTGGGGTAATAAGGACATGGAAATTATTCGACTTGTCCGGTTTCCTCCAGAACAGATGGCAGAGTTGCCCGAACGGAATGCCTTCTCTCCTCGTCAAGCTATAGTTCCAGTACGAATACCTCTTGGTTCCCCAGGCGACCACCGCTCAGCTTGCTATGTCATCTTCTTTACCACCCAGTCGAGTATACCGCCGACCCGCTATCTACTTCATTTTTCTAGGAATAACGTGTTATCGATCTGAGGATAGGTTAGGGAATTTTACAAGACGGGCACATCTCTAGTCACTTTTAGGTCGTGAGAACATCAAACAATACACTACGTAGGTGTATCTTAAGAGTTCAATGACCAGATCTTTTTGTGATGAATATGAACGAAGAATGCTGCGTCTGATTTTTAGTTGAATCTACCTCGAGTATGACCCCATTAAACCCTCCTAGGTATGCAATACCTCTCCCAAATAACATACATTCCAATCACCTCCGGCAGCATTAAAAAAAGCATTTCCACGAACAGAAATCTGGAAAAAAAGATAAAAGATAAAAAATAAAAAATCATTTCAAGTCGTATTACATACATACGATGATGACTATGTGGCTAATCATGCAAACAGCTAACCCGCGATTTCCTCAACTTACGAAGGAGCCATGTGAACGTTGTACTGCCACATCGTCGGGTGTTTACAACGCCACAAGAGCAGCAAATCCCGCAGCACCAACAAGGATTGCACCCTCGAGGCCACCGTTGCGAACCGCAAAGTTGGTTTCGATAGGCGGGGCGATACCGGTCTCAGAGGCAACAGGGGTCGATGCAGAAGGAGTAACTGAAACAGCGGGGTTGCTGCTGACCGCCGTAGAGGATATCGCAATTGGATCAACAGAAGACCCTAGAGCCTCAGAGGCAGAAGAAACTGCCACGCTGCTGGAGACCGGAGCAAGGACTGGAGACGTCGTGGACTGAATTTCAGAAACTTGGGATGGATCAGATGTGACCGGGTCGAAAGCATCACAGCTCTCAGCGGTGGCGGTGGCAGTGACAGTGATTGTTTCTATACGTGTTAGTGGTCGTAACTTGGAAGTTTCCACCACCCGTGGATAGTATGATAAAGGAAAGGGAAGGAGTCCGAGGACAAATCTACCATCATCAGGAGGTCAGAGGGTTGCACTTACCCTGACGAGCAACAATCTTGCCAAAGAAGCCCTGGCTTCCCAATCCACGAGGAGAGTCGACGACTATTGCGTGGTGTTAGTTAGAGGGCATCAACGCTACAAAGATACTGGGTTCCTCTTTGCTACAACTCACCAGCTTTCTCGGCGGCAGCACGAGGGAGGTCTACAAGACAATAAAGGTCAGCACAATCATCGTCCAACGTTGGGCTCTCTCTACGATGAGATGGGGCCAGGGCGGTGACGAAAACACCGGAACCATGTAGGAAACCAGAAACAGAGCGTTGCGAAGACTTACTTGCAGCAGTTGCCATGATGGCAAAGACCATAGAGGCCAGAAAAACGATGAACTTGACAGACATTGTGATGGAACTGAACTTTGAGCGAAAGTTGAGCAGCAGCTGAAAACGAAGGTTTTGAGATGTTCAGGGGCAGAGATTGAATGGATAATTTTTCAGATAGTGTATCTGGAACGAGTGAGATGTTACTGGGACGGTGAAATTGATGAAAAAGGGCTGGAAATGATGGGGATGATGGACGAAACGGCAATGCGTGGGATGGGGAGAGAAGAAGAAGAAGAGAAGAGGGGGGAGTCGGAGAATTTAAATGAACAGTGTGGACAAGCGAGAAGCGAGAAGCAAGAACAGGAACAGGAACAGGAACAGGAACAGAACAGAGAGCAGGTGCCTGGCAACCGCCTCCTTCGGGAAAGAGTCAGGCGCGGTGTGTTCCAATGTTCCAAGGTTGTCTTGCTGCTTCCCAAAGAGGAAGAAGCCCTGGTGAATGCATTCGTCACTCACCAAAACACCAACCCGGGAAAATCACGCCATTCGAAGATGTACGCTACCCAGCAGCTGCCCGGCAACAGAGTACCTCGTCCATATAAAGGCTCATCTGATAGCTGTTAGTTACCATAGTTGTTTTGCAGGATTCACCGAACCTCCGCCGGAAACAATCACAGCGGAACCCAATTTCCCGCCCTCTTGGCGACGGCGGAACTCCTAATGGGATGATCAGGTTCGGCACAAAAGATGCTGGGGGCAGGCTCCTCTTGCCTAACTAGAGGGCTGCAGTGTCAATACCTAGGTAGCTACGCCTTTTTCTCCTACTTCGACATATCCTGCCATACATTCTGGATTTTGGAAAGCGAAAAATGCCTTCCTGCCCATGTACGTACGTGTACGTTTTATCCCTTAGGGGTAATAACAGCATCAACGATCCTACTCCGGTCTGAACTTGCGGAGTGCCTGCCGGGAAACACACAATCATACCTGAGCCCATCAAACTTTGGCACGAAGCTTCAATCGGTTGTGCATGTATAAGGTGCAATTTGTGTGAGTTTTGTCCTGTTATTTTTTTTTTTTTTTTTTTTTTTTTTTTTTATTGAATAGTTATTCCTTGGTTTCAAATTCAATATGAATCTGGCCCCTAATCTTTTAGAAGACAAGCCTGATGCAAATAGATATCTATTACATTTAATATAAAGCTACAAGACATTTTTCTCCTAAAATCCCACTACCAGAAACTTCCTGTGATAAAAACTCAACAATTCACATAATCATCACATTTTTCTACATGAAATAAGCAGCTTAGATATAGCTACGTAACTCTATAAAAGAATAACATTGAGACAAAAGCTAAGTGCAAAGAAGAACTGAATCTCAAGAAAGAATAATATTGATGACCAAGTATGAGAGCGCAACGTCTAGATATTAAGAAAGCCACACTTGTTGGGCATTATCATAGGGGTTGACGGCCGTATCTGTATAGGGGCTTCGCCGTGGGGCAAATCTCCTTAAATCAATTGGCATTGCTATCCTCTGCAAGTAAGGAAAACTGCTTCCAACGCTGGAAATCTATGTTATATATGCATAGCACATCCGACATAAAGTAATCTCTGTCAAATGCCCTAGGGGACCCTATCCATCGTAATTTAGGTGATAGGAGGGTCAACCCTGAAGTAGAGGAGGGCCATACCAACCGATGTACCCTAAGGAAATACGAAAATTTGGTAGGCCCCTGAACCATTACTATTTTCCATCATCGGAATTTCTTACTGCCGAAGGCTTATTTGATTCCCCCTTTTTTCCCAGTCTTGACACTCATCGTCCTAGCAGACCAAAAACGTCATCGTGATGTCATGCAGTGCACAAATAACGGCCAACGAGCCAAAAAGGGCCCACCCCACATTTGCGCCAGGGAAGGCGCAGCCTACATTTGAACCCACACCCACCTGCTCCTCCAACGGTTACAGATATAATTCGCAGCTAAAACCAGAGACTCACCACTCCAGGCTAGCTTGGGGTAAAAAGAAATCTGAGTTCGTTCCACAATAAGGTTCGCAGTTGTCCATGTTTTGACTTTTCGAAGGGATAAGTTAGTTAACCATTCCGTTCGACGTACATAACCCAGGTCCTTTTCTATCTGCTTGCTGTGCCCCAATTTGCGAGATATGCAGAATATCATTCTACCGTTTGCTCAAATCTAAGACATGCATCTCCCATCACCCACGGCTTGCGGTATGCTATACACACAGTCCCGTAGCCATTTACGGGATGGTAATATGAGGGAGGGTTGGGGGGGAAGAAGGGAATAGCATCGAAGGGTAACTATTTATAGGCGCCCTCAAGGGGAGCACAGCCTATCATCATTACGCAACGGCAATCATAACGGCTGAAAATCCTCCCCCTTCCCCCTCCTTCGCCAGATGTGGGGCCTGTGTAGGTGTAGTTTCGCACCAGCAGACAAAACGATAATTTCAGCATCCCAATGTCACGGCCGAGATTCCACTACCCCAGGTCCCCGGAACCCATGTTCACGATGATTATTAGGTTTTCCATTGAGCGGAAGCCAGCTCAAGCCCAGCCGTCAGAACCACGTACGTCATAAGGTTCTCGCCTACAGTCCCCGTTCCACTCGTAGCCATTGAAGTGTTAATGAATAATGCGCCGCACAGCTCGGAGCTACCATGCAAACGGCTCTTCTTTCAATTTCAACTCGCGTGCTGAATGCCCAGTTATATACTGACGAGTTGTAGTGATGACATCCGTAGCAGTGACAGACACGAACGAAAATTCTAATTGTTCCAAGTAGCCTTTGTAGATATCAACTCATTTTTGTGCATGTTATATGCAGCAATCAAAAAGAAGCGTTTACGATGAAATGCCCTTCCACCCCGGATAGGTCGAATGAGCCTCACCGGTTAAAGCAGCTTTAGATATGAAGGAAATCAACCTTGGAAACTTAGATAGGTAACCTAAAGTTAATCTAAGCTTTACCCGAGGCAAACCATATACCCGGGTTTGAACTGCCCGGTGCACAAGCCCGGGATCAAGTAGAAAAGATGTTTGATAGAGAGTTGAGACATGATAAACATAATAAGACGTGTAACTCGTTTTAATTGCGCCATTGTGTAGTTGCGTCAGGCAGCAGAAGGACAGGGAGGGTTGGTTGGGTTGAACAGCGCAGTCCGAATCGATGAAAAATTAACTTAAGCCAATAATAATAAGCCGTCATAACCTCACCCGGGGGCAAAAAAAGAAATATCAACAATTATACACAGCTCTCACCTTACCTACCTACATGCCGATGTCGTCATTGTCCAACCCAACACCGCACCCTCCACAGTCAAGAAAGGCAAAAGGTCAGCCACGCGTTCATCAATATCGCGAGGTTGAATATCCCGAATAATCTCCACAGTAACTACGTCTGTGATCCCTGCACAATCCCTACATACACCCGAAACTTATCACAACTGCCGGTCGGTCCAGTACCTGGAACACGGCTGGTACAGCTTTTGACATGTACAGTACCTACGTATGCACATAGATAATTAGGTATTATTGAAAGTATTAACTAAGATTCGTAGTTATCTCTCCGCTCCTAACTTAGCCTAGCTTGGCCTACTGGGCCCATGCATGCCATCATTCTTCACACTGCAAGTCTAGAGCTACCTACACAGGTAGGGACCCATATGTACATGTACATGTACATACCCCCGTGTACGGGTGGATATCGAATTGCGTCTCAGCCCGTGTTCGATGCATGAGAGAGCGATCTTTTGGTCTAGGTGTAAGATCAATTGATGGGGGTGGAAGGGGGTTATCATCATTGATGACGATGAGGGTATTTGCAGGGTATTTGCCATTGTTTTACTCTCTCTTAAAGATTTAGCAGGGGTGTTTTATGGTGCCGCGCCTATGGGTAAGGGTAAGGGTAAGGGTAAGGTAAGTAAGTTAGCGTCGTTTTAATGCAGAGAGAAGCACGTAGGGGTGCATAGTGCACATTGCCAGTGTATAGATAATGTCCAGCTTTTACTCCGAGCAAAATCTATCTATCTATTGTGATTAATACGGAGCGAGGGTAATTACAAGCAAATCAAGTGCTCTTTTAGACAGTTCCAACTGTTTGGGTTTTATAATGTACCCAAAGAAAAGGGTCTCTCCTGATAGAATACACCAATTCAACGACGTATATTGATTAGGAACTGAGATAACTAACTACCTATGCGTAAGAGTAGACACTACACACTGCTGTTGTACAGGGGGGATATGTCAATCCATAAATTATGGAAGATAATAATTAGAATATCAACCTCCAAATCTTCTCAGAAAACTAACAGTACTGAAGAAAAGTGCCATCCGCCCATCATTGTCATGTTAATTTGCAATTAGCTTTGTTCGTTTGTTACTGCTCTCCCTTACAAGCATTAAGGACAAGAGAAAAAGACAGAGAGGGAGAAACGGAAAGACATTTTCACGAAAGTTAACGGAAAACTAATATTAACGAAAAATAGCACTGTACAATGGATAGATGGCTCCATTGTTTCATAAACAGAAAAGGGAGAGTTCAAAGCACCTCCTCGGATACAAAATTAGAAGAAGGGCAAAAGAAGAATCGAAAAAGATATTCAAATCTAACACCGGGAATAAAAAGCAATTAAAAGGCGAAGAGGATACGCCAGTCGACCAAAAGAAGAGTCGATCAAAAAAAGAATCAATCGAAAAAAAAGGAAAAAAGAAACAAAGAAAAAAAGAAAATTATCGACCAAACGCTCTTTCTTCAAAGCAAAAAGCCGACGCCCTGGTGTATAGGGTATGTACTCCGTAATGACAGTGGGAATATTCGTATATGAAAAATAAATAGAACACAAGTAAAAGCCAAAAGATAAGAATACAAAAAAAAAGGAAAAAAGGAGAAAAGAAAAGGAGAAAAGAAGAAAAGAAGGAAAGAAGAAAACAAGAGAGAGAGAAATTCGACCTTTCCAAAAATAAAATAAATGAATAAATAAATATTGAAAAGGAAGTAACAAAACCAACTGAGCAAACCAGCCACCCAGAAGAGAAGAAGATTCATCGTTTCTTCATCAATCTTCAATTCATGTTTTTCTAAGACTCCTTTTCCACACACATCCTTTTTCCTTTTGTATCGTGATTGGCATTTTGGGGGTTCACCCCAACAGAGCATGAGCAGCCGGGTTCATTAGCAAATAGCCTCCTTGAGGAGTACCAACTCAGACTCAAGGGCAAGAGCAAAATAAAAAGCAAAGGTGACAACAAGACCACAACGCCAGACAGAATTCAATGAGAAATAACCGAGAGATTGAGCAAGGCCGTTCGCGCCGCAAGTATAGGAAGGCAAATCGAAGGAAAAGGAAAGAAACCCGAAATCGGACAGTTAAAAAAAAAAAAAAACAAGGCCAGGGGGAAGAAGAAGGTGTAGCGGAGAGAATATATTGATTAAAAGATCAATTTCACTTCGATTCCAGAGGATGTTGATGGTGTCGACGAGTCACCGTTAGTGCTAGCGTCTAGCGAGCAATCGCGAACCTCAGAAATCTCAGCCGCCATATCCTGTCCTTCAGGGAGTTCATTCACGATATCATCATCTAGAATAACATGAAGCCCATTTCCACGGAGGCAGAGCGCTCGAACGACGCGTGACGCATCGATTTTGCATTTCTTGGAGATGACATGTACCAGGTCCTTAGCTGTGCGCTGTGTGAGATAGACGGCATGATAGTAGCCATCTGGGACCTGGTTGCCACAGGATTGCCGTATTTGGACATAGAAGCAGGAAGCTGCCGCTAAACGTTAGACCTATTTATGGAGCGTGGGCGATAGGGTGGTACAATAGGGAGGATGGAGGTTACGTACTGGGCTTCTTTGGGGCGGCCAACGGCGGCTGATAGGTGGCGTCGACATCCATCGCTTCGATCCAACCGTCGTGACCAGCGCGGCCGCCAGCAGAAACCTTTTGGATCTTCACTGGGTGGCTTAAGAACCGACCATTCCTAATTTGCTGTTGGCTATCAGAATCCTGTTGGGAAATGCTGGACCAATCCATCGAGTCGTGACGGGAGCCGTCATAGACTTGTGGTTGGTGAGGAAAACCTGTGTTGGGGTCAAAGGAGTTATGAGAGGAGCTGAGCGAATGGTTGCTAGTTGCGGGTGATAAGACATGCTGAGATGCTATGGAGGATCCCTCTGCGTTATTTCGGGACTCCCATCCTATTGAGTGTGAGAATCCCTCGTCAGTAATTCCCAGGTGGACTGGGAAGAGATCTGGGTCATCATGGGCATCGCCTTTCAAATTGAGAGCACTGAAAGGGCGAGTAGATGAAAACATGTCTTTCAATGTGCGGAGCTTGATTTGAAGATCCTCTTCTAAAGTTGATTTCCCAGAATCATTGCTTGATTCACCTGACCAGGCTCTTTTATGCTTTGTGATCTTTCCTTTGACAAATGAGCCGCTTCTTTTTCTCCTGTTGAAACCAGACCCGAGTTCAGCTTGGCTGATTTGCTGTTTCAGCTTGTCAATGAGCTTTTTGACATGTGCAACATCATTGGAAAGCTTTCGCTCGGCACCATGATCTCGAAACAACTTGACCTTGCAATAGCACACCTCAGGCCGGTCTTCAAGGGGTGGATTTCCATGGCCAGTAGATATAACCTCTGTTTTGGCACATAGACGAACAGGAATTCCCTTGACACCTTTGGAATGACTAAAATCGGTGGAGAGGAAATTGAAACGAACTGATATCGAGCAGCATGGGTTTCCATTGGGGTTCGGGGACCAAATAACAGAGAAACCATCGAAATTAGCAGTTTCTAGATGAACTTGAGATGGCCTGATATCTCCATCTCCGCCTTGGTTGGGGTCAACATGTTCTACCGCCAAGAGCTTTCCATCGCGGTGATGGGCTTCGTTGGAACCACGGCCCTCCTTCCATAGCTGCCAGCAGCTGGCTGGCTTTGAGCGTTGTTCATCATCCTCAAAAGAAACGCGGATAAAAGTGCGATATTTCAAAGGCTGTGCCCCTGATGTCATTGGCCCAGTATCCAAAACCGACATTGTATAGGCTTGGCCTTTGTTAAGATATGTAATTGGTATCTCATCAGGGTCTTTTACCATTGCTGTGGCTGCCTTGAGCGTGACATTGAACCGAAAGCTAAAACGGGACATGTCAGCATGATGGTCTGTCTTTTAAAAAAAAAAAAAAAAAAAAAAAAAAAAAAAAAAAAAAAAAAAAAAAAAAAAAAAAAACACACGGCAAGTTACAACAGTGTAAAACCTTACTTTTCACTCCCTGGGTTCGGACGATTGTCAACAGGGGTTGATAAGCCTATACCGTGAGGGAGTAAACCAATGTGATTATTCGCATTTACCCCATTAATAGGAGAATTCTCGACATGTAGCGGATTGTATCTTGGGTCTCGATTTACAAAACTGCTCGGAGCATACGCTGGTGCATGATGGAAAGAGTCGACGCCGTTTCCTGCCTGGGGAGCGAAAGAATGGTGAAATGAATTCATGTCAATGGCAGATTGCATTGCAGCAGCATCGGTAGCAGAAGTACTGGGAGGGATTGAAAGCGGGCTCAGTAAATTAAGTGTCATTCCCGGAGTAGATAAGTCGGGTACTTGTGTATGGCAGGGCATGCCCATCCCAGTCGGTGTCGCGGTATAGTAGGTGGAAGGCTGGTTTGCGAGCGACGTGAATGCATAAGAGTTAGGGTCCATTATAGAAGGAGTAAATCGCCAGTGATCCGGGAGGCCTTTTGATGTTTGCTCTGTGCCTTTGTTTTCCTCAGAGTCCATCGTTGGTCTATACCCATTACTTCTCAATCAGCAACCACGTCAAAACCAGCATAATCTGAAAAGATCGCAATTTATAGTTTTGTATGAATAAGAATTAAAACTCACCTTTGTTGCTGTACACCCTGTTTCACGGGCGCATCGGCTAAATTTTTGTCCGGGTGGCCTTCAGCCGTTGTTGTTGAACCAATTCCGGGGCAAATCTCGGGAAATTTTTGTTTGAAGTTAGAGTAAAGCTCCTCTCCCGGCTTCTGTGAACTTTTCCTGTATACCGCAGAGAGCTTAAGCAAAGGGGGCCATGTAATTGCGCCTGGAGTAAAGAACCGTGCTGGAATCGACTGGCTGTTATCTATTCCACGTACCGGTTACGAAACATTGGGATTGATTGATGGAACGAATGACAATGGTGGTAAGAAACGAAAGGCGCCAGGGGCAATGGCAAGACCAAGAAGCAATTGCTATAGTTCGCGATTAACGGGTATCCAGGCAAGAAACGTATCACACTTGGGGAAGGCACAAAAGCTTGGGAAATTTGTCGTAGCTCGGCGCTCAGTCCTTGACATGCGAAATGCTGTGCAACTAAATAGATTGATAGCGTCGGCCAGATCAAGAAAAGTTTTGAGAAGGGAAAAGGGGAAGGGAATATACAGAGAGCCAGGGAAAAGTTGTATTAAGAGGTGTATATAGTTTACAAGGAAAAGAGGGTAAAAGAATTATGGTGACGAGAGAATTTCTCTTATTTAATCTGAGTTCAAGGTAGGAGGAGATGCGTAAATATAACGATAAGATCCGAGGGGGGCGATGTTGTTACCACCACAAAGTTAACTAGCAACCCGCGATCTGAAATTATTTTTTTCGGTGGGCAAAGTGGTGACGACTATCTGAATAATAGCCTCTCTTATGCCACACTAGCCTAGACATAGGTCGGCGAGAGATGAGATGGACCATCGTAGTAAAGGATCCTCTGGGACTGTATCAATTGTCTGATTGGACAAGCCTTCTGAATTTGCGGGAGTCTCGCACCTCTCCACGGTACAGGATCAGGGGTGGTGTGGTGGGTGGTTTAGAAGGGAGGATCGCTTTTGGGATTATCGTTCCCTTAGGTACAGTACATGATGGATACATTTATTTGACTGTGGGTTTCGAAGTGAAGTGGGTTTAGGATGGAGCAGGCCAGGTTCCATGCCTGAAGACGCCATCAGATGGGCTAAGTGAGGATCCACGGGAGTTGTAATGGTGGGGGGGGGGGAAACAAGCCAGGCCCGCCACAGGTACGCTTGGCGGCAAGCCTCAAGTCGCAGCTAGCAAGGGCTCGACGGCTCCAGCTTGGCCCCTTGTAAAAAGTAGTCGTCAGGACTGAGAAGAGAGGGATAATGGGTTTAGGGTTATGACGGCGGGCGGAACTCTGAAAGGAAGATACCAGATACAATTGATAGCTATGACGAAACATTGAAACAGTGATCCCGGTGATATCTCAATTGGCTTTGGGACTTACCACCCACTCTCTCTATCTCTCTCTCCCTTCCTCAGCGTCGGCCTCATCCTTTCTTCATTGAGTTCATCGGATTCAAGCTGTCAAAGAAGCTACCGATAGCCACACATGAACCAATCACTGAGAATTCATATGGGGTACTTCCCACCACACAGCAAACATTTTGCGCCCTTCCTCTCCTCCCCGCACTTCTATTATTTCATAGGTAATCTACCAGTTGGTTGTTCAGACCCACCTACCTTTGCTGGATATTTCGTCTTTCGTCGGTGAAGTTCGCCTCCTAATCTGGCAATATCCGAGGTTAACCTAGGTAGCTATTAGAGCGCCACAAGTGCTCAATGCGCCACACTGATAAAGATCACCAGCCACTGAATGACGTAATCCCTAGCCTACTTCCTAGGCTCCTCACATCGCCCAGTTTCCCCACTTCTGCAGGCCGAGCTGTGCTCATCCGCGCCACACAAGCACCCTGCAGCACTCGGTGACCTAAAATATCTGCGCAGTGTAAATGGCAAAGGATGAATTCTTCAACACTGTCTGTCTTCTCCTCAGCGTTGGTGAATGGTTCCATTTCAGTAAGTCACTTGCAGAGAGGAGTGAGGAGTACACGCACGTGCATTTTTGAATCTGCTTACTACAGTTGGTCACCAATTTACGCGGTTTCAACCACGATATAGAAGTGTCAAACACACTACACTGGCCCCTGTACCCCAGCAGGTTCATTTTGCCTCCTCGGGCCCTGCTTCCGACGAATAAGAAAAATCATACCTAGGGACTATGTACTGTACATACTTGTACGGTCCCAATAGAAAAATAAATAGAATAAAATAAACCGGAAATGCATCCACACAACTTATTTTGGTCAAAAGGAGCAAAAAGGTTTAAAGGCTTAAAAAAATAAAATTAAATTAAATTAAATTAATAAAAACGATCAATCAATTCTTATCGTCTTAGCGCGATGTGGCTTTTATCCATTATCCGTCGTCCTCCTACTGAATGCTCGGTTTGATAGGCTGGTAGACTAAACTCTCACTCCACTTCCTGTGCACAATGCGGCACAACAGGTCCGTAATGATGTGTTCTGGCCCAAAGCGCGAAAGGGGTCAATGCTAAGCTCATCCTGTTAGTACTGTATATACATACCGGGGAGGTAGGTACGTGTGATGTACGTCGATGATATTTCCCCACCCCGCCTGCATACATGGTCTGGTTGGCCTCGGATGTGGAAACTATCGGAGGGAGAAATGTTGAGATAAGTACTGTACATATACATATTCATATCAAATAGCTGTGAAGGGGGCGGGCTGAGCACTCGGTGCTTCTCATTTCCCCCCTTTTGGATCTTCATGCCAGTCCATGTACCGTACAGTACCCATCGTGTTCTCCGTAGGATCTACAACGTCTGGATCGTGCGCGTATCCCGATCTCTCTCGATCCTAGATCGGGTGGGGGAAGAACAGTCCAAAGTGCAAGGGCAAGGAAGAGTATGGCCCCCCCGCTCTCCCACCTAGGCCTGGACAAGCAAACCGCACCACAAAAAATATATATATCAATTTTTATCTCCGTAGAAATGTGCGACGTTACCCAGGGTTTGTAGCGCAAACGGCAGAGCCTGAAGCATCCAATATCAATTAAGCTCAAGGCACCATCTCAGCCTCCGTGTTTCTGTGCTACTGCTTGAATTGGGCGTCCGAGAACAGGGCTATTTTTGACTGATAACACTTGTTGGTTGCTAGCGGAATAGATTCCGGAACAGACCGAAGCCACTGGAAAGTATAGTACATAGTTGCATATCTCTAGGGACTTTGGCTGCCGCCGCTCGATATATTGTTCGTCATAGCTGGCGAAACCATTAGCTAAGTCATTGAACTTCATCATTGTGACCAGGTCAGCGAATTCTTGGGCGGAGAAAGGTATTTTGCCTGCCCAGATACCTAGGGGCAGTCGACTAGGGGGTTGCCGAAATGCGCGATCAAGGAGCTCATCACATCGGCCTCTGCGGCCCCAGGGATCCTTGCCTGACACTCAATTGCACGCCGAACGGATTGCCTCCAACATCGTAACAGAATAGGAGATAGGTCCCACAGTTCATCGCAAGGGTTGGGGAGTGTTGGAGCGTATCCTATTCTCGCCTGGTAAATCTACAATCAAGCGTCATTCATTAAAACCATCAGCGTTTTGATCTTTCTTTAATCACAACTGATATTGAAGGGTGCTGATCCTCTAGACCGCAGTTATTAAACGAGTTGTCGCACGTACATGGCTTTTGGCCGTTCCTTCTGATAGCGCCGAGCAATTGAATTTCAAAATCCAATCATAACAAAAAAAAGGACTTATTAATCCTTCCCCATTATTAACGTCTAGCCTCTCGCCGGACATGGGCTAGCTGGTGGGCTTTTGGGCGGGGGAGGTCTGGGCAGAATGTCGTTCAGCGCTCTGTCGTCAAGCCCCTACGTTTGGGGCAGTTGATCCCCTGCGGCCAAACAACTATAGGCTAATTCTACCAGGGTAGGATTTAGTTCAGCCTGGGTTCCTCATTCTGATGACATCACCATCCGCTCCTGGGACCTGGGGGTGGACGATCCTTTTCTCGCCGCATCCATCCATTGGCACTGGCAGTAATTCCAATCTTCGTTCTGAGTCGTTGCCCTGCCTCGAGTTGCGAAGCGGGGCTGTAAATGATTAAAGAGATCCCGCGCCCCGCTAGCCATGTTATTTATTGGGAGGGGGACATTTCGTCATCACAGTAAGGACTCGCCTAGACCCCTAACCCATTATCAAGACACTTACGTCGTGTCGTATGCTGGCAGATAAGATTGCTATTTCTCACGGCAACACGGCTAGAGAAATCAAACACTATGTCTGCATGGCAGTAATGATGATGGCGCCGCCATTTTATGGGAACTATCTGTCAGGAATCGTTAGTTACCCTAACTTTAGCTAAAGGAAACCAGAAGCAAACCAAAAATAAAAAATAAAGAAATATAAACAAAGAGGTGATGGAAGCAGGGTTCAAGTCCGGGGGCCAAGAGGGCTGAGAGGAGTTAACCCATCGCCTGGGGGATATACAGAAGTTTGACCCACTTTTCTGGACACATCTTCGCAACTTTATTAGTGCTTCCTCTAAAATACACAACCCACAACACGCATAGTACACAAAAATTACTAATACAGTGTGACTGTCTCTCATAATTTTCATATTTCGCTCATTTTAGCTCTTTCTGCCCCCACCAACACCAGCCACAACTTCTCAAAAATAGGTACCTTTTGTATGAAGATCTCATACAAAAGGTACCTGTCAACTCATATATCCACAACATCAGGTACGAGTAGAATATTAAAAAAAAAAAAAAATAAATAAATAAATACATCAATTATTCTTATTTTGCATAATGGCTATAATTTAGTAGCAAATTTACTGGTGATTTTGAAGTTAGTAGTAAAACTTTAATATATTTAAATTCTTACTATATTCTCTGCTCAATATACATATCATGAATCTGATGTTGTGTTGAAGATATTAATTTTTTTAGGTATCTTTTATATGGTGAGCCCATACAAAAGATACATTGGTCATAGCGCTGTAACCCGCCATCTCCTCGAAACTCAAACAAACCAAGGATTGCTACCCCATACTACCATTAAATGCTCGTACGAATTCTTCAGGCTATCAGACATCCCGGATTCCAATTGTATTGCCACTTCTTTTTTGTAGAGAGCCACCCTCGATCCCATGAGAAGGCATCATTCATTATCGGCTTGACTCACTTCCATCTCATATTAGAAAATGTCGAGGGCAACAATAACAAGGCAGAAGGAGGTTTGGACGATCAGAGAGCTTCTCCACAAACGCAAGGAACCCCGTCCCAAGCCTGTCGAGTAAGATTTTCTTTGATCTATCTTTTCTGTGTCTTCCAGGGTTGGCATGTCTGGTCTGACTAATCATCTATCAAGAACCAATCGACCGTTGATAACACTCTGCGCTCATGTTTTCATACAACGAAACGTCGTTGCTTTCGGACTTAGTGCTTCTGACAGAGTAGCACAGAAAAAAATATATGTAAATACAAATAATTCTTTTGGCCTTCAATTGCTGAGCAGAGTTGACAGCCTGGAACCCTTTGGGTCACAGAGCATTATCTAATTTGCCATCTGTTGACAAAAGTGGAATGGCTCGGCCCGTTAAAGGCAGCGGTGGTGACCAAGCTCTTTTGCTTAGTAGTTGCACCATCGAAGTAAACTTCACCTTAATTTTTAGCCTCGTCCTTCTACTTCTACATGATTGTACTTTGTATTGATATCAATATGGATATGGAGTCTAATATGACGGGGGAACTCCCTTTGTCATATCATATACTGAGTATATAGCGGAGAGAATACGGACTTTGAGATCTCTCAAAAGGAAATATAAATATTCCCAGGATAACTCAGGTGGGTTTCCCCATCTGTAGACTTTGCTGAAACCTTGCCCAAATCCGCCTCCGATCGGCAGCCACAAATCGTGGCAGGAATGAACCTCCCAGAGCTAGTGAGTTGAAGACTAAAGCGTTCATGCAGGACAAAAATGAAGGCTGGCATGGTAAAAGGTGCAGACCTGTAGAACAGAAAAGGACATCAAGGTTGGTACGTATCCTAATTGGGAAGTTTTCCGATCATCCTCCGCAGATCCACGGAGCTTCTTGATCTCACTCCACACCATTCGGCCATCATACATGACTTGGTGTTGATCGTGAGGCGCTTCTTGCATACCCGCGACCTTTTCTTTTCCTTCTTTTGCTTTTTCTGTTCCTTTCCTATCCAATCTCGTTCCGGTTGGTCGTTTTGGGAAGAATGATCATGGCTAAAATGGGCCGGGTCAGTCGGCAACCGAAAAGGAAGGGAAACTAAGTACATTACATGATTAGACTGAAGTCCGCTACGCCGCACTGATCCCTAAGACCTTGGGTCTTTACTAAACAGCGAGTGGGGAAAATAAAGTTACCTACCTAGTTAAACTTGTGGATGAACTGGGAAAAATGATTGTCAAGTTGATTCATTCTCTTTGTCTACAAGTTATGGCTCGTTTTCGCCCCTGAAAAGAAGCAACTCAAACCAGAGGGTAGTTCACTACCTAACGGAGTACGGATGCCCCCGGAAGAAGTTTTGTCTCGCCTCACACTAAGAATTTAAACTGAAATAAATACTGATCCTAGCATTAAGTATTGCCGTTCCATCTCACATCAAGAGAGTTTGACTCTTAGAATTAGAGACCAATACCCCCTGGCTTGCTCACTAGCTCACCGCCCAAATCTCAGATGGTCTGGCCTACCGAGAGATTCGTTGCATTAGAAACCATATTTCAATATAATTTCTTAGCGTGAGGCAAAATTTTCCACAGAGGCCTCTGTAGGTGGCTGGCCAATGGTCCAGACTAATCGGTATGGTATCTGAGAGGACTCCTTGCTGAGTTGCGGTCTTGATTCCGCCCCTGAGTGTCATGAGGTATCAAACGTACTGTACCTCGCACTTTGCCTTCCCCAGACACCATCCCTGGGATAGCGATATTCGAATTTCTATTCGTCACCGTCGGCAACTACGACAAAACTCTCCATCACGCTGGAAACCAATGGCCAACTTCAACCAAGTGGGAGAATCGAGGCGCGTGGGCAAACAAGGGTCCTTAACCTTTTCCCAACGGTCAGCCAGCACTGCAGATCAGCTGGAAAAAGCAAATTAAATAAACGACTGGTTTGAATGCTGAATATTTTTCCCGGTTCGTTGATCAGGAGAGGGAGGGCTGGCCGATTCAGAACTGAAGGAAAGGCGCCCCCTCGGGGCGCGGAACACCCCTCCCCTCCCCCAACCCCCTTCTTTCCACCTCATGCTCCTCTTTGATTGATCGATCCTGATGGCGGAGGCTGTTTTAGTGCAAGTTCCTCCAGTCCAAACTCCTCAAAGGGAACCAAGATTTTCCCAGGAACGTGTTTTTATAGATTATCAAGTGGGGTTCTCAATTCATCTCACAATGCGTGAGGTCCAGCTCGCCCGGCTCGTTTTCTTTTCTTTTTTACCCCAGATGAGCTGCAGAAAAAACAATTATTCGCAGAGACAGAATCAGGGTGATTCAGTGGCTGATGTACTCTGTATGGGTTGAGCGACAGGCGCTAAGAGCAGCCAAGATTGCTAGGGGTTACCTTGACGATTACATTGTGGCTTCTCTTAGGGCCCTGGAAGGAAGTACCTTCCATGTTACTCTGTACTTCGTCTAGATTTTGCTTATTTTCCATTTTCCTGGTCTCCTCTGTCCTGGCTGCAAAGAATGGGGGGAATAATGTTTTGCTTCGACCGCGGATAACATATGGTTCTTGTTCCCTTTTTGGGCCAGCCAGAATCCCTGCCAACAGCCCGACAACTTGGTTCTGCAGATGTGACGGCAAAGCAAAATAAAATAATAAAATAAAATGAGTCAAAGGCAGCATGGGCGAAACACATATACGCAGTAGCATCTCCTTTCAGGGAATCCTGTCAAAGCATCTTCGGGGTGGACGCGCCGTTCTGTTCTTTCGCCTGGGCATCCAAAATAAGCCACAAGTGATAGCCGGTGGTATTACAGGCTTCGAGCCTAACTTAACACCGACTCATTCACAAGGCCCAACAATCCTTGCATTCTGCATACAAAATCGCCACCTCCTCATTTTCCAGCGCATCTTCATCCCCCCTTCCGCATCAATCCATAATCGAAGGATACAGACCAGCCTTTTACGGAGGTTGTTCCGCGCAATAAGAGGGCTAGGCCAAAGAAGCTCTTTTTTGCGATCCTCACATCCACAACAACGCAAGAGCATCTGCAAATTGAAGGCTTCCCCTTTTCTCACGGAGTTTCAGTGTCTTCGACTGTCTCGGCCCAGCCCCGATAAATTCTGGACCGAATGAAGACGTTCCCGAAAAGCTAAAGGCCATCCAGCCACACCCCCAAGACTTTGAGGCTCCAGGGTCTGTTCCCTATTCCACTCTGATTCTGTGAATCCAGCCGCGCAAAGACTACATACAAGGGGGCAGAAGAGAACGACAAGTCAATAAAATTAAGCAAAAAAAATAAAAAAAAATAAATGGACCTAGACCAAGCCACAGGCAGAGAAGAAAAGAAGAGCACTGCTCGACTCTGTGCTCGACCGGTGATGAATCATGGATCCTCTACTCCTACTCCACTGTTATCATGAAGAGCACTCGTGATGTCTCGCTCTCTAGTTCATTCAATTAATTGATTCAAAGGGCGGCGGACAAGAGGGGCAAAAGAAATCGAGGACGCGTCAGTCGAGCGCACCATGCAGTGCTAGTAGCTGCCAATTATGCTGCTGATTAGCGGCGAGGAGTTCTGATTTGCGCTCTCCCATTCCTTAAGCGCTCTGCAGTTTGCAGAGATGAACAGAGCGCATGGGCGGAATGCGGCCTTACAGTGAGAGCATCCATTTATTAATTCATTCATTTCACATTTTTATCAGATGTTTGTGGCACACAGAGAGAGGTACACTTTTCAAAAGGCCCAGCTTGAACAACGTTGTATGAAGTAGTTCATCACATCCTTTCCACGGACACCTTTGCGCCTAAGAACAACTTGAACAGGGGAAATTTCCAGATTCATGATCTATTATACTTTTTCTTGGCCCAGGCCTGTTTCTCAAATGTCCTCGAGAGCAAAAAGGAACCTGCACTCGCACTGTTAACTCTATGCGACCTGCAGTACGGGATGCGCACGGACCTCTGGATGAGGATAGCCTCGAGAGAAGCAGGGACCATGTGCAGCTTTCTCGGTGGTACAGCTCTTAAGGTTCGGGAGGATACCAGCCCTTACCTGAATCTACTCTGTAAAAGTGCCTAGGGGGACCCGAATACAGACAAGTTGATGAGGTCATCGTACATCTATATGTACAGATCGGGAACGGCCACTCAACTTGTGTCTTGGAGGATAACATTGTTGTGTTGTAATCTAACTACGCGAGTTACACTAAATAGGTTGGGGTGGCACGTGACTAGGGTAGGTGTAGTAATCACCAACAATCCCTTGCTATGCTGTGGCCTATAAGCCGCCACCTGGGGCCTCTCTCATTCTCAAATCTTTCAAAAAATGTAATAATAATTAATTACATTAATTAGATGCTGATTTCCTTATTAGAAAAGACATCTATACAGCAATAACTGTAAAAATCAAGAAATACATGTAAAATTCATTGATTCACTGTATTATTATTATCATTCAATTATTCATTCTTCTTAATTTTCTGATTATTAATTCTTTTAATAAAATCTTCAAATACAGGCTTTATTAGTGACTTGATAAGACTATCAGCTATATTCACTGTAGAATTAATATATTTTATCATAATTTTTTCTTTTTTAATCAGATTATAAAGAATATAATATTTAATCTTAATATAATATAATTATTATTATTATTATTATTCTTTCATTATACTTATATACAAGCAGAGCTTATAATAAGTTCTTGTATAATGTTAAATACAGGTCAAGTATTGATTATACAGAAGAAAAATACAGATGTTAAGATTATATTAAGATAATAAGAATATAGAAAAATACAAAGAAGTTACAATTAAATACATGTGATAATAACTTCTCAGCTCAGAAACATAGAGCAATTCATTGAAGTAATTTATACATCTCTGTATTTATTAGAAATCTGAGATGCTTGAGTTTCAGATTTAATGTATTCTCTGCAGGTTTCAAACTTACATGCCTTGATTTCTCATGTCAAGACACTATCAGATAACTGTATTAATTATTCAGTCAGAGCAATACAATGTAATCTTTATATTAAGAATTTCTTCTTTGCTAGATTAATTACTCTCTTAATATCAACTTATAGATATAAGTATATTTTTACTTTTTCATTATTTATTAATCTGATATTATATAATATATTATTCAATCAGATTATTTTATAAGCTGTTTTACTAGTTATAATATACTCAGCTTTTATAATTGATTTAATAATAAATATCTGTCTTTATAACTGTTATGAGATCAGTGACCTATTAACTAATATAATATAGTTAATAGTTAATGTGACGGGCTGCGCCTGATCAATTATATAGACTATTTCATTACACTTCACAGATTTCAACTGCTTTAGTCTTGAATGTATATGCTTCAATTCTCAGCTATTCTTAATCATCAATTCTTAACTGCTATGAATATGTACACTCTGATTCTCAGTCATTCTTAATCATCAATTCTCAGCTGCTATGAATATGTATAGATTCTTTCACTCTGAAGCCTCACTATATACATAATTATATATGTATATAAATATTCACTCTAATTGCTGATTTTCACACTTTCTCTTTCTTTTCTTCTTGTAAGAGGCCTATGCTGAATAGATTGATATAATATTATAGATCTTATATAACAAAGATAAAAACATTAGAGAAGGAAAGAAAGAGAAAGTGTGAGAATCAGCAATTAAGATGAATATTTATACATGTATGTGATGATGTACATGATGAAGCTTCAGAGTGAAAGAATATACATGTGTTTATAGTGATCAAGAATCAGTGATCAGAAATGACTGAGAATCAGAGTGTATACTACACATGTTTGTAGCAGCTGAGAATCAGTGATCAGAAATGACTGAGAATTGAAGTGTATACTACATATGTTCATAGCAGCTGCAGATCAGAGATCAGAAATGAAAGAATCTATAAAGTGTAATGAAATTGTCTATATGATTGATTAGATGTAGTCTGTCACATTAGCTTCTTCTTTTTAGAAGCAGTTCTCATTGATCAAGAGCTGCTGTTTCAGATAATATGAGACTCAGAGTTCAGATCAGTTGATCATAGCTGACTCATTTCACAAGATATTATCAGTTATGACTGTGAGATTTCTTATCAAGAATATCTTCAATCTCTTACTCAAGCTCATTATCTTCTTCTATGATGTCTGACAGCTGTTAGTCAGATGTCAGCTGAGAAGAGAATGAATCAGTGATAATACAGTGAAGTAAGCTTGTATAAAATACATCATGAATTTCTGATGATGTGTTAAGATAGTAGTTGTAACTATCTAGAACTTCTATCACTTTATATCTAACATGGTGATAGTCTAGCATATGAGATGAATGTGTGATTTATATATTCTTGAGATTCAATTATACAAGATCTTCTATCTTATACTGCTCTGCAGAATCTTATCAGATATTAATTTAATCTTCTTAATCTTGTTTCACAGTTGTTATGAAGATCTCTGCTCAGTCACAGACATCTCAGAGCTTTATTACTATATTATTAGTAATCTGAATTGAACTGCAGAGATTCAGTGTGAACTGTGTAATCTCTAGAAGATTCAACACTTTTATATGATATTTATATGTAAGAAAGAATGAGCTTATATCTGTTAAAATAACATCTCAACTGTTGATAGTAATCTCTGTGTGTAGAAGAAGATTATACTAATTATCTTATAAGTGATTACAGAACTTATAAAGATAATTCTTTACAGTCTGAATTATCTATTCTGATACATCATCAGTCTCAGAGTGATAGATAGTTAATAGATGATATATAATCTTGAGAACTTGATCAATTCTTATTCAGAGAGTGCTTATGAATTAATAATCTTAATCTGATACTATCAATCTCAGCAACTCATACATTCAATAGAATGAACTTTATAAGAAGGCTTCAGTGACTTATTCAGCATTTATCTTATTATAAGATTTCAATATTACACTCTTACTTAGTTAATTAACAATGATCAGAATGTTTCTACAGCTCTTACTCTTAGATAGATTAACAGCAAAGTCAATTATTACATCTCATCAGATTCTATCAGAGATATTAAGTGATTTCAGTAGATCTTTTCTACAGTTCTTTCATAAGATAATAGAAGAACAGTGATTACAGTTTCAGATAAAGTATCTGATACTATTTAATATCTTAGATTAGTAGAATTCTTAGAAGATCATTCTATACAGTTGTTTACAGTCTGAGTGACTAGTTATACATGAATCATACATCTCTTATATTATCTGAGTGTGTAAGAATTCAGAGTGAAAGACTCAGCATCATTTACAGAATTGTAGAGTATTATTATTATCAATTAAGTATTCTGAGATATCAGTTCTTATATATAGTTCTGAGAAAAATTGAGATACTTTCTAATATACTGCTTTAGTGAGAATCTGAAGAAGTTCATCAGTGTAAGCTGCTGTATGCTATAGTTCATTCAGTGTAGAGAAAGTGAAGATATAAATATCAGTTCTAATTGAAGAAGTATATATAATACTGTATATTGTTTTATCTTAATCAATTAATATCTTCAGATTCAAGAGCTGATGCTCTCAGTTCATTCAGTGAGTATCTATTACATCAGATGATATATCTTACTCTTATTATGAGAGAGTATCTGTCATTGAGTTCTGACTGCCAGAATGATAGTGTATTATAAAATAAAAGCAGCTTAGAAACTCAGATCATTATATCTATTATTCAGTAAGTTTATAGATAGTTATAAAGTATTTGAGATTTTTATAATCTGTGAGACTGTGACTATCTCAAATTCAGAGATACTTCAGAGTTCAGAGTCTCATTCTTCTAAACAGTGTATAATTGTAAGAAGTTTCTTGTTATAGATCTTATAATTGCATTCAGTGAGACTCAGTTTCTTAGATATAAAGACATATAATCATAGAATATCTTCATCATTATATTATAATATTACTTCTTCTATTATATAGTCAGAGAAATCAGCTTCAATAACTGTCTCATAATCAGAATTAAATGTTATCAGTAGAGAGATATTAATGAACATCTTCTTTATCTGTATAAATGCAGCTTCAGTATTCACTGATCATTGAAATACTGAGTCTTTCTTAGTGAGATCTGTAAGTGATCTTGTGATATCTAAGAAGTTTCATATAAATTACTGATAGAAGTTAGCAAATCTGATGAAGCTTTATACATCTTTCACAGTATGTGAAGCTTCTCATTCAAGAATGATGAAGACTTTCTCAGAATTCATTCAAATCCTCTTATCAGCTTCTATAATAAAACTCAGATACTTGATACTCTTGACTTTAAAATCACACTTATTAATATCTATCAGTAGTTCTGCTTCTCATAGCTGTTGTAATATCTTTTACATATATTCTTGATATTCTTTTCTGAATTCATCAGTGAAGATGAGAATGTCATTCAGATAAGCAGATACAAACTCATTAAGAAAATCTCAGAGTACTCAGTTGATATACTTCTGAAATGTACTGAGAGTGTTAGTCAGTTCAAAGAATGTGACTATTCATTCAAAGAGATTATAATATGTTTAAAATACTATAAGCCATTCATCTTCTTTAGTAATACAAATCTTATGAAATGCGATGATGACATCTAATTTTATAAATCATTGAGCTCACTCAATCTGTGCTAGAGTTTCATTGATGAGAGATAAGAAATATTAATCTTTCTTTGTCAATCTATTCAGATCTCAGTAGTTCACACAGAATCAGAGTTCTTCATCTGATTTCTTTGCAAAGAGAATAGAGACTGCAGTGAAAGAGTTGCTAATGTATATAAATTCTTTATTCAATAGATCATTGAGTGTCTTTCAAAGAAGAAGAAGTTCATCTTGAGATATGTTATAAAGAGAGTCTCATGATGATTCAGAGTTCTTATCATTCTTTTTTTCTAACTTGATACTGTGATTCACTTCAGAACCTTGTAAGAGAGATATATTTATAATATTATCTTATCAAAAGACATCTAGGTATTCATGATATCATTGAGAGAGTTTTGTATGAGAATCTGTTGTTGTAACACAGAATAACTTTTCTAAAGCCTTTTTAATATTGGCCAGACTGACAGAATAGATTGATATATAATTCTGCTATCAGTGAACTTATCAGCAACTCTGTCAGTGATTTTGATGATGACTTCTTTTTCAGAGTATTTCATACATGTTGACAGAGATCTGTGTTAGATTCATGATCTTGTGAATATTATCTTTGTAAACTCTATCATTGTTAGAAAATATCAAGCTTCTGTTTCAAGCATTTAACAAGATACCTTGTTCAAATAGGCAGACAAGTTCTAACATAAGATCATAATCAAGATTATCAACTTTATATGTGTAGACATTCTCACATTGATGTTCTTTCACATCTATAATCAGCTTCATTATGTAACAGATACAAACATCTTTCAGATCATCAAATTCTGCAAGAAGTCAGAGTTT